CATTTTCTGCAGTTATTCCCCTCCTTGCCAGCACCAGCATTTACCCTTTTCCCTATGGGTACTTTCACTCACTTCTTTGCAGGGGCCTCTTTAGGCTTGGGCTCTGGCTTTGGAGAAGCAGGTTTAGCAGACAACCTCTCGGATCTTTTCTGTGGTTTGTCCTTCATGTTGGATTTATCTCCTTTAGCATCCCCTTCAGCCTTTCTCTTGGGGATGGTGGCAACAGCGGTGGGATATAGGCTCTCGGGGAGGGATGCAGTGGTGCACAGGCTTTGGCCACTGAGGGGGAGTTGTTCTTGTCTCTTTACTTCCAGATTTTTTTTTTTTTAATCTTATAAGTCATTCCTTTGCTCTCTTCTGGCTCTCATGTATCCTCGTTATTATTAAATAGTTATGCCATCTATTCCAGATTCCATTTCAGAAACCTTTCAGCATTTTACCATTAGAAGATTTGCAGTTTAATCTTTTTATTAGTTTTCTAGGGTTACTGTACCAAGGTACCACACTAGGTACTAAAGCAATTTAGTACCTAAATTTCTAAAGCAATAGAAATGGAATGTCTCACATTTCTGGAGGCCAGAAGACCATCAAAGTATTGTCAATATTGGCTCCTTCTGGGACTGGTGAGGGAGAATCTGCTCAGGGACCTTTCTCATAGCTTCTGGGGCTTTATTGCCAATCTTTGGCATGCATTTGTTTGTGGAAGCATCACCCCAATCTCTGCCTTCATCTTCACATTGTGTTCTCCCTGAGCATCTTCATGTTTCTGTGTTCAAATTTCCTTGTTATAAGGACATTTGTCACATTGGATTAGGGGCCCACACTACTCCAGCATGATTTCATATTAACTATGTAAATCTACAATGACGCTATTTTCAAATAAGGTCACATTCTGAGGTCCCAAGGATTAGGACTTCACCATACGAATTGAGGTGGGGGGGAGACATAATTCAACCCCTAACAGTCTTAAATTCGGAGGAGTAATTTCTGTCCATCTGTGTATTTTCCCAGAGAAATTTCTTAAAGTCCAAATAAAAAATTTAATTGATCCAATAATGACTATTCAGAGGAGCTATTGTTATCTGAGCTTTTATAAGAATTAGCATGCTTTGGGCTGCAACTACCAAAAGTGTGACTCAATGCCAGCCATATGAATGAACCATCTTGGGTGCCCAGCCTTGTTGAGTCTTTAGATTATTCGATTCTCAAACTCATCTCTCACTGCAACCACATGAGAGATCCCATGAGTGAACTGCCCAGCTAAACCTTCTCTCAATTTCTGACTTACAAAATTGTGAGCAGAATAAAATGGTTGTTTTAAGCCAGTATGTTTTGGGTAACTGGTTGTGCAGGAATAGTAACTTAATGGGAAGAAATGTCCAAAGTAAATAAATAACTCCTATGAAAGAATTAAAGAAGAGAAGCACCTCGATTGAGAATTGAGAAAAAATAGGAATTTCAAGAGGAATAAAAAATGCCCCCCCAACCAACGTATTAAATCTAATTCATAATCATAGAAATTCTACATAAAAGCATAATAAAAATTGACATTCCTCAAGATTAACAACATTTAAGTCACACAAAATGAAATGTTAGTGATGATATAGAGCTTGATGGAAACATAAATTTGTACAGCAACCCAGAAGAAAATTTGGCAATGTCTCTGAATATTAAAGATAGTCTTTGATTCAGCAATGCCATGGCTAGGTACATAACGTAGAGGAACTCTCCAAGAATATTTAAAGCAGCATTGTTTCTGAGAGTAAAAATGGGAAACAACTTAAATATCTGTCAATAGGAAAACTGATAAATTTTGGTACACACACATAATGGAATACTATACAGAAGTGAAAATTGAGGAATAAAATTTGCTTATATCAAAATGGTGATACTCACAAACAATAATTCGTTAATACAGTGATGAATATGAATAGTATGATATCATTTCTACCAAGTGTGAAAGAGACAAAAACAATTGTTTAGGGTTATAGTCATTTGCAGAAAAAGCACAAAAAAATGCACGTGGAGGACAAGAGTGGGAGACAACAGGGAAGGAATCTGCAGGTGCTTACCTCACTGGCAGTTTTATGTCTTCATCCAATTACTACCTTCAGGAGTACTGGATGTACTTTTTAAGTAAGTTTTGTGTATGTTAAATATTGCAGAATGTATTTTATAAAGTATTTAATTGCCAGAAGCTCTTTTAAAAATTCCCAGGTCTGTTTCAGACTCAGCAGATCAGATTGCAGAGGTGGGGCCCATAAATCTGCCCCCTTTTGTGAGCCTGATAGTCACTACTGGTCTAAGCTGGGCAAGGTCACCCCAGTGGAGGTTGCTTCCTTCATGCTCTATTATATCTTTCACTTTACAAGTAATAATGTTTATCCATCAGTTCCCCAACTTTGGTGCTGCTGTGTTATCTACCATGCAAGGAGATGGGGAAGCAAAAGTAATTAAGACATTTCCACTGGTTTCAAGGGCAAAGGTTAACTCCAATATAAAGGAGTTCTAAAACTTTTCAAATTGGACATATTCACATTATCATCTTGATACCAGTGTTTCCAAATCCTTTTTTCCCAATGCCCAGAACATCCACAGATCACTGCATCTGTCTGGGAACTTCACAGGCTTCTTTCTGGAGACATTCCAGACACGCCCCTCCGCCTTGGCACTAATACTTGGCATCTCCCCTTGACATCTCAAGCTTTGTCATTTACTCACTGTGTGACCTTGGGCCAGTAGTGTCCCTTCTCTGAACCTCTGTTTCCACCCCTGCAAGTTGGGCAGACGAAGGTTCAGTTTGAAACTGGTTGAGCCCTTGGAGTGACAAAGCAAGGGACTGTGAATGGACAAAAATGAGAGAAATAAATTCTAACAGGCACAAAGCAACCAGGGGAGAAATAATCCCAACTCTACTCAAAGATTGATGGGCACCAATTTAGAATCCAGTCTCAATTTTACCTTCAATACGGTGTATGACCTTGAAAATATCTCTTAATCTCTCTGAGCCTCACGAGGCAAATCAGGATAATGTTAATACCTGTCTCGGAGTTCTGGTGAGGAGTAAATGAAATAACTCCTGTAAAGATATTTTAGGAATTCTGTCTGACCAGGGAAAAGCCCCTGGGGCCATTTCTTCTTGGTCCCTGACAAGTGCCAGGCTCACAAGCAGAACAGTGACCAACTCAGGGTGGTACAGGAAGTCTGGACAGTTTTGTGCCCCACTCACTGCAAGGTGGCCTCCCAGACTTGGCTGGATGGGTGAACCTGGCCTGAAAATCAACCACAAGCCCCTCTGTGTGTTTGGAAAGGAGCTGAAGCTGTGTGAACAGGAGTTGAGCATGCGGCTGGCAGAGCAGGCAGGACCCACAGAACATCTGGGCCCACTGCCTGAGGGGCAGTCACTCCCTTCTTCATTTGGCTGCTGCCCTGGGATCAAACAGATACAATAGAACCCATGGCGCACGGCTGCCAAGGAAGGGCAGGCCCAAGGGATTGGGCTCCAAGCCCTGGAAGTGGTTTCCCAAGTCACTAGATTTGCAGCACGTAAAACCGGAAAGGCCCCGGTAAACCTGTCCACTAGCACCTGGGCAGCGAAGCGCTTTGGCTGGAGGGCTGCAGGTCCCAGCAGTGGGACGGACAGCAGGGAGATGGTAGACCCTCCTTGGGGTGGTGTGCGTGAGCTGCGTGAGTGCCTGGGGCATCTCCTGCACGGATGGCACCGGCACCAGGTGCCCCTGGCCTCGCCTGGCCTCTCCAGCCAGAGGACCAGTCCTGGACGGGGAGGGGGAGGACAAGAGCAGGTGAACAGACCCCAGAACCCGGCTCCCTGACCCTGGCCATAATGCAGAGCTGCCTGGCGCGCCGCAAACCACTCCCTGGCCCTCTGGTGAGCATGCCGGGGTGCAGACCCCTCGCCCTGCTGGCACCTCTGTGGCACGTGCGGGAGGGGCAGGAGCCCGGACCAGGAACCGCTGTGGTGAGAGCCAAAGGCACTGGGACTGGCCGCCACAGACCTTTGGACACCGCAGTGGGGGTGGGGGTGGGCGGGATAAAGTTCCTTGACTTGGAGTAGTGCTTCTCAAACTTTAATGGGAATGAGAAACTCCTGGGGATCTGGTTAAATGCAGATTCTGACTCAGTAGGTCTGGGGTAGGGCCTAGGATTCTGCATTTCTGACAAGCTCCCAGGTGGTGCTGGTGCTGCTGGTCCCTGACCACACTTGGAAAAGAAAGACACATGAAGTGGTAATCAGAATCCTGGGAATCTGGATTTTTAAGTACCAGGATTTTTAAGTATCATAACTTGCTATTATGATCAGGCAAGTGTAGAAAACTCTGGAATAGATCATCTTGAACAATAAATTAAGCTGAGATTTGAAAGGGTGTTTTTAATTCAAGTTTTTATGAAGTATCTACCTGGTGCTGGTTAGATCTGGGAGGGGCTTGGAACACTGTCCAGGTATATTGAGACTATTCAGTAAATAAAATTTGTGAGTTTTGGTGGGAGAAAATGCAGGGAGAAGAGAGATCCTTGTTTGTAAGTCACTTGCAGATGTGAAGAGAGATGGAAACCCACATACCTAACTGATTTTGCAGGAGGTGGCCGTGGTGGTAATTTCAGACAGCT